CACCCCCACCCCACACCCACCCACATCCACACCCACACCCACACCCACCCTGCTCATATATTCCAGCAGATCTGATGTTCGTATTTGAGACTAGGAGTAACCAAAAGATCTGAAACCTTCACAATAAACTATTCTCATTGAGGCCTGTCTACTTGCAAAGCTTCAGATGGAAAATCAAAACTCACTTTTCCTGGTGTTCCTGAGGGGGACCATGGTTTTTTCCTTAAACATACAATAAAAATGCGATATCTCGGCAGGAAGAAGCTAGCGGCACGAACTTTTTTCAAAGGATTCATAGATCATTAGGGCCTGCATGATGCCTCTATGCTCGACTCAAAAGCGATGTGACAGTTGGGAATGTTTCCTCGTGAGTCATTTCAATTAGTAATGCGGTTTTTACATGGTCAATTTGGATTTGTTTGTTTCGATAAATGTAAACAATTATTTATTCAAATATATTCATGTTCAAGTAGAACTTTAACAGTAATTCCATTATTAGTATCATTATATAGGTATCCATTAAGAAATTACCCTAGACGAACTTCTTTTGGTCTGCGCAGGAGATACTTGAGAATCTTGATCAAGAAAGTCATGCGCTATGGACAAAACTTGAAGTCTGCACAGAACAAGTGCATGAAAAAAAAAGTTCGCCTAGAGTAGTTTCTATTTATTTATTTAACTAATAAATATTTTTAAATTTTTATTTTAATTCTTAAAGTGTGATACACATTCACCAAAAGTATTTTATTCAGTATTTGAATTAAAATTAGAAGAATAAGTTAGACGTCTTTAAATAACTTATTGTTTAAGAAAAACTGAAAAATTTCAAGATGAACAATGATTCGAAATTTGTAGATAATATATTGTTGTTTTATAAATGTCAATGATTTACTCATTTACAATTCGAACCAATATATAAAATGATGACATTAAAGTCTGCAGTTAATTTATCAATTAACCCATTCGCCACGATTAACTTTTCTTTAAGCTCTAGACTGGCCCACCAGTGGGTCACACCATGCCCAATGGGTTAAATAAAAACAAAATTGTAAAAATATAACACAATCCTCTCTAAACGTTTATTGGAATTGTAATCAGCAACTCATGTTATTCAATAGATTCGTTTTATTACTATTAATATTACCTTTTCAAAGCAAACCTTCATTTTTTTTCCTTCTTGACTTTAAGTTTGAAAAGTTTTGAAGTGAACCAAAAAAACAAGAAAGAAAATATGTCTTTAATGCACTCAAGATATATCAAATCTGTTGATCAAAATTTTTTTTATACTATTTTTGATTTATTTTCAACAAAATAGAGTTTATTCCTTGTTAAAGGAAATATTTTTTTTTCAATTATTCTGCTTAGGCATGAAAAGTATAAAGTACTTGTGAAAAAGTTTATCGATATGAAATTTAATTTATTCACTAGTGAAATATTCAGTAGTCGATGCAACTTTTATATCGAAATTTAAAAAGACACTTATGTTGTATGTTACAAAAGCAGTTGAAATTGGAAAAGAATATCTTCACTTAGGCTTTTAATGAGTCCATTTTGTTAGAATAAAATAAAGATCTATTTTATAATTCTATTTGATTACAATTAACTTTTAAATGAATATGTTTATCATTTTTAAAAATAAACTCATCATTAGAGCATTTTTCTTTTCTTTAAAAAAATCTAAATACAACTAAAATTGTTAAATAATGGGAAAATTAATAGACATGCTTCCTTTTTTTTTCTCATATAAAAATCTAAAGGGTACCATTTCTAATAAAAATCTTCTTTAGTTAACATTTTTATAAAGAAATCCGTTTGTAAAAAGAGAATTGAGAATCAATTGATTTGTTTGAAATAAGTTTACTTCAGTAGACATTGAAATTCTATGATAATATATCTCAATTTATAAAACATGCTATAAATACAATTCAGTTTAGTTCTTTATAATCGTTTAAGAAATTTTACCGAAATGATTTCATTTAAAATATTCAATCTATGCAATATTTCGATTGAATCACTCATTTGGTAACCGAATTCATTTGCCAAATATAAAAAATACAAAGTTAGTTCATTTTCTTTTATAAACTAATTTTAATTATAATAAAAAAAGGTCTATTCATTGGATTAAATTAACGTGGAAAGAGTTAGTAGGCAGTGTTTTTAATGAATCAATGTATCAAGCAAAAACAAAATGTATCATATTCTAATCAAATGAAACTTATATGCTGTTTTATACACTGAAGAAAAACAAAACTAGTGTATAGAGTGTACACACTGCATTTCATATTTACATTGTTTTATTGAGAAAATTTTCGCGTCTTCATGATTAGAAAATATTTATCTTTTGACCAAAATCAAAAGTTGGCGCGTCTCATTCCATAGGAAGGTAGATGGAGAAGTGTTATGACATGTTCATTGTTCATGTTTACAAAGAAGAGAAAAGTTGCCGTTACTTTATAAAACAATGGCAATTTTCCTTTTCTCTCTCAACAGAACTTAGTATATTACTTTTTTTGGCCATCGCATTATGTGAATATGATTTGTTTTTTACATGCTTTCTTGACTATTTACACATTTATAGATATGGATAAATAGTCATGTTTGATGAATATGTCAACGGATATCTTCTATTCAATAAAATATCATGTGTTTTGTCCTTGGAATCTAAAACAATCTTTACTTTTTCTAAATTAGAAATATAAACATGCTCGTAAACTTTAAGAAATAAGTTAAGAATTCTATTTTCAATAGAATTTTTCTTGAATAGTT